GCTCTAATTTTAACAAAATTTAGCTGTTGAATTTTTCTCCTTGTCATCTTCAGCCAACATATAGCCTTCAAAGTGTTTGGAAATGGTCGCTGTTTCGTCTGAAATAGCTTCAAATTGTACGATTCCTTCCGTATTCCGCCGGCACCAAAAAGCTCAAAGCTCGATATCTCTACAGTCAACGAGTTGCGCCGATGTTGAGATAACGTTGGCGGAGCTCGTTGAGTGTAGATTCATTAGGAAACAGGTGTCAAGGCGACATCTATGGTGTATCCAATTACGATGTTACATGAGGGCCTTTTGGCCATTGGTAACAGGGAGTTACTCAATTTGCTTCGATGAAATCAACGCCAAAACTTTCAAATTTTAAATTTGGCAGATGCCCATACGTTGTTAGCATAGGTGATTCTAAAAGAACTACGCTACCGTTTTTGCTGCTTTTTAACAGTAGAGTTTGAAAAGTTGACGGAACTTTTGAAATTAGTGAAACATATGTTTGATATTGACTTTTTTCAGAATACTATAATGAAGTTGAATTGAACTGAAGTTGCTTTTTCAAAGGGTATGAGGAAGGGTACTCGCAGTTTTAAAACGTTGCTTCACATTTAGACGTCATTGCAACATAATAGCAAGTCTTGCTATTACTTATGCCCCTGTTCCTTTTCTTATCTTGGTTGTGCGTTGCAAATGAGGCTCACAATCGAGGCTACTGTTGTTCGTTAAAATTTTCTTTCAGGATGCAGAGGCGTTTCGTGCACAGCTAACTGCAGCTGAAGACTGGCTATATGATGAGGGAGAAGACGCCGAAAAACCGGTTTGGATTTTTTTCTTATTGTCATTCGTAATAAGTTCTTTCCTTACAATATTACATTTAATTTATTGAAGGTTTACGAGCAGCGGCTTGCAGAACTTAAGAAACTTGGCGATCCTATCGCTGAACGCTACAGAGAATTTGAGGCTAGGAAGGTAATCAGATAAATATTGAACAAGATGATATAGTTTTCGCTCAATTTATTTCTTCCAGCCAGCATTTGAGGCGTTTGATAGATCGATCATTCGTGTACGCAAGGCTTATGAAGACTACGTGGCCGGTGGTGAAGCACATGCCCATATTGACAGTGCTGATATGGAAAAGGTATAAAAGCTTTTTTCACTCTATTTGTATATTCGTATCTTATTCATTTTATTGTTTAATCTATCTGCTGATCTTTTGATTTCTGTTACTCTGCTCGTCAGTGAATAACTCGGCGTTGCTTATCGAGCTTAGGGTTCAGGTAATCAATGCAATCGAAGAAAAGAAGCGATGGATAGACGATGTTCGTCACAGGCAAGATAGGAGGGCCAAAACCGACCCTCCTATTGTGTTTGCTAATGAGATCGCTCAGAAACAGCAGGTGGGAAAGCAGTTTATTATTTATTTCAACTTGTCCTCCCACCAATATCTACCTGTAATCTTCATGTGTCAAAAGCATAAGTTGTTGAAGCTTATCATGTGGCGCCTCTATGCCCTGTGTTTCGCTTTTTTTGAAAATACTTTATTTTTGAAATGAAGACTTTCGAATCGATCTTACATGGGAATTGGTTTTTAGAGCTTTTTTATGTGTAGACCAGTAATTGCGGTAGGGGGGACTTCTTTGCCATTTGCTTTCCGGGATCTCTCTCAAAAAAAGGAGTTACCAAGGGATTTAGGGGAAATGTTCTGCTTTGAATCTACGTCTCCATATCTTCCAGGCGTTCGAAGCAGTTGTGATGCCGATTCTGAACAAGAAGAAACCAGCTCCGCCACCGCAAAAGAAGGAATCGAAGACAGAGCCACCTCCGCCAAACGGAACTCCAGCTGGAGATAATGCTGCTCCGCAACAGCCACCAGCAGACATGGAAGTTGACTAATCTCTATGGTTGTTCACTGAAATTTGTGTTTGTGCATCACGTGTTCTATTGCTTGTTTGAAGTGCATCGTTTATAATCTTTAGTGATTGTAGACGAGTGTTCTTCTTTATTAAAATTGAAGATCCATACGTATAATTTATATAGGTAGCACTGAATTAGTTGAGGAATGATTTTTTTGTGTTTCTCCGCTGCTGATATCAAGTTTCATCAATCCTGCAATATGTAGTGTCCTCATCCTCACCGTCCAGTGCTGCTTCCCTCCAATCATGGAGGTACCACCGTGTGGTGCAATCCATGCTTAGTTTTTGCCGGTTGATTGCTTTCGTCACTACTTATCTGGTGTGACGCTAGCTCTATAGTTGTTTTGTAGGCTTCTTCTTCGAGCACATGTGAACTGTTAATAATGTTGCTTTCATGTGTTTCGATAAAAAA